AGCTGTGCGGAAGAACTTACGGCCTCTACGTTAATAGCCCATGTCTGTGCAGTATAATATGGCGCCATGATGATAACGCCGAGCCATCGTCCTGTCAATGCGGCTTGCGCTCCAAAGGAATCCAAGGGAAGGCGGACTGCATCTGGATGATATGTGTTGTACACATGGGGTCGTAGCCCTCTAGACAGGATAGGCCATTCGGTGATGGCTGGCGGAAGCCCCGGGGCGGGCTCTGACAAGTGGACAGCCCATTCACCGGGCTCAAGGTGAACCTCAACTTGCCCGCCATCATCTGTGGCAGCAGTTGCCGGAGCAGCAGCGGCAACATCGTGTTGGCTAGGATCATCTGTGAGGTCATCGGGGAGAAGGGATGGGGACGGCTCAAAGATAGAGGCCTCTATGGGCCGGGATAGGAACGCCCACGTGACTGCGTGTCCGTGCCAAACTGGCCCGTATCCCAAAGGAATGGGTATCCCCAGGAAAGACAGGGCACAACCGCACAATCTTGCGAAAAGCCCGTTGCCAATGCGCTTGACGCGCCCACGTGGCTTCTCCGGCCCGCGACCAGGATGAAGCTGATGGTGCACGGCTGGAACTTCGGCTTGCAAGGGCACAGAAGCGGAGGCACGAACACTCCAAACCGAAAATGCAAGGCAGAGCGGTGTAGCGTGGCTGCAGAACTGCCTGGCCCTGCGTGAGCTCAAAGGTGCTCCAGCTGTGACCATAGGTCGCAGCAGCATACCGACTAAAGCAAACAGTAGAGCGAAGTTGAGGCCACGTCCCAGAGCTTGAGAGTGAATAATCCCAAACTGGAGGAATTCGGCGGCAGGCATGGCATTCAGAAAGTGAGCCAACCCGAGCAGTTGGGCACCAAGGACAGCGGAGACCCAGCAGGTCATCACTCTGGGTGGGGTGACAACATCGCCCGCGGTAGGGACCGCCCCTTGGATAATCCGGAAAGATCCCCTAACGCAAGACGGCGTCAAAAGGAGAACCAACCCCAAAAAGAAAAGACGCCATGCTGCGGAGGACCCAGAGCCACCGATTCCTCTCTTAGGCGCAGCATGGGATGGAACAAAACTCGGGGCGACGCCGTCGTAAAAGGCTTCCAGCGGAGGCACTGAGGCTAAAGTCACGGGCGAAGAGCCTATGCACAGCACCGAAAGCGGTGTTCCTAAAAGGCAGATTGGAGCGGGAGACCCTGAGCCACCGATTCTCCTCTTTGGCGCTCCACTTAAAACCCTAGAAAGGGAAAGCTGGTACCTGAAATTGCCTAGGGGAGACCTGGCAAACGTACCTGGAAAGGGGGCAGGAGACCCAGAGCCACCGATTCTCCTTTTTGGCGCTCCCCTCATGCACAACTCGGAAGCGGACGAAACAAGGGTGCAAAATTGTTGCATGGCCAGCGACCATATAAGGCGGGGGCCAGTTCCAACAGCATCAGAAATCCAAAATTGCCGTGGAACAGCCGAGGAAGACCATGGCGAGGCAGGGACGAAAAGGAGGCAAGGAGCAGGGCAGACGGGCTGGTGCAGGCGTGAACGTATGTACAACCTAGGGTGAAAACGAGGGAGTCCACAGTCCTCGGTCTCCAGCCCGCCGGTTGGCACACATCCGCCGAAGGAGAACGGAGGAGCAGAGGACTTATAAGCCCAAAGCTCACTCGGCTCCGCCAGCAGGTGAACCAAACCGCAAGCAGGAAGCCAACCCCGAGACTCCCTCCTACGTGTCACTCCAACTTGCCCAGACCTGGGGATGCAATGCTCAGCTCCTCCGGCTCCTGATCCAGGTTGACACAAGGAGCACTGGGCATAGGAACCGCTGCGGCAGACTTGGCTTCTGAGGTCGTGGGAGGCATGCGGTCCGTCCTTGTAATCCCGAAGGGGGCGATCGCTCGTCTTTGCGCGCGCCGTTTCTCTGAAAGCCGCTCCGCAAGGGTGCATTCTGCATGCGGAGCCTCTGCGGTACATGGCTCTCCTCCTGCCGGCATCTCTGCTTGCCCAAAATGAGCAAGACTGCCCTGGTAAGGATCGTGGAGTGCTTCGGGAGGGCTTGCGAGTGCAGGTACCGGAAGGTCCTGTGACGAAGTAACCCCACGTGAGGGAGTCATAGGCAAAGCGCCTGTCGTACGCTTTGGGGTGACGTGGCCAGACAAACCTGGTGGCGCTGCCGCTTCCCTTAGAATTCGAGAGAGCTCTTGACCAAGCTCTTCGTC